CGAAATGTAATTTTTTTAAATGAATAAGGATGTCTTGGGGAAAATTTGTATTAATATTAGTGGTGTTTCGATATGCTAAGGACCACTTAATCTGACCATAGGTCACTATACATGTTATTTGTTAAAGAAAGGATTCTCTGTATTACAATTAGTTCATAAAAGAATGGTTCTTATTAATATATTTGCGATACTATAAAATGTATCGAATACGCGAGGAAAAATATACCTGATCACCGAAGATTTATAAACTATGAAAAATCATCGAGAGATTACAAATTACTAATTAACTAATTAATCACTGCTCACCTCTGTCACAAACTCACAACGATACAGTCATTAAAACAATAAAATTACCGAATTTCACGATTTCCTCGATCCTCGACTCGATTTTCAAATTCGATTACGAACTCATTGGTATCGATTTACCCAGATGCTTTCCGAAAATGTGAAAAATTGTATATCACTCACCAAGAACTGATCCCAGATAACGAACTACGAGTTCTCTCGCCAAGGAACAACTCGCGATTGCGTCGCGCTGGCCAGTGGATTCGCGATATGTTCGTTTACACACACAGAAGTCGAGCTCCAAGCATTTATGAGAATTCCCCCACTTGATCTTCACAATTCCTTGATTCGGCATCAACACAACACACGTACGCGTCACCTTAGCTCTTCGCGATGTGCTCTGTACGAGATGCGTATGAGCACTGGGTTTTTCAGAAGTCGCAGGCGTCGAGAAATCGAGACCAGTAATAATGAAAATTATCGGTCTCTATGTCAGATATTGAAATTAATTCTGGGCCCGAATTTTGCTTATTATTATGCTCCTACAATTATTTGAATTATAAAGTAGACCTGTCATCTTTTAGAATAACAACAATAATTCTAGGCCTAATGCCGATAACTATTGTAGAATGTATAAATACAGATGCACCTTTCATCTAACCGTATATAAAATTAGTAAGAAAGAATAACTAAAGAAATCGTCTGTAATGTTATTATTTTTATTGAATTATATATGTACCATTTTGTTCTGAAACTTTTCCACTTTTTAAGGGATGTACACTTGTTATTTGTTTCCAACGATTCCGAGATATTCAGACCTGCGCCGCTTACTAAAAACCGGCATGGACTTTCCAGAAAACCCAATATTTGGATAAGAATTTAATTTATCCCCTATCTAGACCACACATAATGATTTTTGAAGATCTGGCTAGCGTTAAACTTGACGATAAGTCGAGTAGTCCAATCGTTGACCTGTGTCTACAATAGGGGACTGGCCGAGTCCTTGTATAAACTAGGCTAGTTTAACTAGCAGATGTAGACTCTAAATTCTAGAGTGTCCTGTTAGAATAGCTGTCGACGAAGTTGAAGGATAGGACCGACCTCCACTTGTCGTCAAGTGGTTCACGCCAGAACATCTAACTAGTGGACATCTAACTAATTTATATTTCGTAAACGCCTTGACACGTAAATAAACTCTAAACATACCTAAAAATCCATAAATGTGTCTAACGAAGACGTTTATATTTGCACTTCTTATATTTTTCAATAAAAAAGAATCGGAATTATTACTCGAATGAGAATTATCTTCCTAACGGAAATCCCCCCTTTGAAACGGAAGGAACTTCAATTTCCTTTCGCGATACAATTTTTGTTTTGTCCTGTTCCTGTTTCCGGCGGAACATGTTTCCGTGGTGCAAGGCTATGTTTTTATTGTCGATAAAGACAATACCAAACGAAAACATTTTTAACGGACCTCCAGAGTACAATGAAATTATTATTTTTTAGACATATGTATATTGATGTTGTTCTCTGAGAAAATTATTAGGTTGGCTAATAAGTTCGTAATAAGATTCGTAAAAAAGCTGGCGCAGCCGCTCGGAGGATTTGCCTCGATGAAAAGCGGAAGAAAGGCAGATGTCGAAAATGTTGAGTTAGAAATTTCATTTCTAAGCTCGAAAAATAATAAAAAATTAAATTACTCAAGGCAACGATGATCGCAGCTTTGTAGGATAAAAGAAAAACTAAAACGCGACGAACTGATTACCCAACCCAATATATTTATGTTTTGAGATGATGGAGGCTACTTGCTGTTTACCTATTCGACAAGCAATTCACGTTTATGTCAGTTTTGCAATTACTCGTAGAAACAATAATTCATTTCTGAGATCTCGAATTAAATTCCAAGCGTCGTTCTTTAATAACGTGCGAAGAATTCAATGTGTTCTCAGAATTCCCTACATTTTCTGTGTTAAGGTCAAATGTAGTCCTTAACTGCGAGTTCTTCGAATGTGTCTCGAAAGCAATTAGAATCGATCTTTCAGATCTTCTTGATTTCTTAAGATTTTTATTTTAGATTATTCCGTAATGGTTCGTTTACTTTGCAACAGTTTAGATCAGTGGTGCGCAAAGTTCACCCTTCAAGGGTAGGTAACATTTTATTTGAATAATAAATTTATTATTCGATAACTGAGACGTTCATTGCACAAATCGATTAACTCCATAAAACAAAAAATTCAAATACGATGAAATAAAGTACATTGTTTGTTAAAATTCCCTTTATGATATAAATTCAGATAAATATTGTAGAATGTATAAATATAGATCTATCTTTCATCTAACGGTACATAAAATTAGTAAGAAAGAATAACTAAAGAAATCGCCTGTAATGTTATAATTTTTTATGTGACCGGTGAAGCTAATCGATTTGTGCATTGAACGGCATGATTCGTGTACTCTGTTGCTCTGAACAAATCACTTATGGTCAATGCAGTATTTGTTAATAGATTTGAATAAAATATTTAACTACAATTTTATAGCTACTTTTTGCTATTTTTGTAGCTACTATTTTATTTTACGTATTTGGTCTAGTAATAAAAAAGACTGTCCACCACTGGTTTCGACGTCGGTTAAAAGGGAGAAAAATGGATGCACGTTGCGTATTAATAATGGGTCGCAACAATGTTTGTCGAGTAATAGTTTTCGATGCCACACGCAGATTTCACGGTAATTCCTATCGCTGCATTTGCATCAAATTGCATGGCATGTAACGATAAGCAAATAATTGATGACGAGAACCTAATTACAGTGTTGCGACTTTCCATACAAATTTCAATTTTCTATTTATCAAGACTGTAAACAATATTTTTATGAACACCGTTTGTTGCCGCAATATGCTTAGATGTTTCCGTTAACCTCTTGAGGGACTATTTATTAGAAACGAACAAAAATTTTATGTTTACCTGTGAATATTTAATTGCAAATATTTTATTACGCTTCTAATGAAAATTTCCAAGCAAAACTGTTATAAACAACTCAGATATTAAATGCACACGTACGCACCAGTATCCCTCAAGAAGTTAATACTTTACCGAGATTAATATTTGCAAATATGATAATTAATGACGTTTGGCAATCTAAAGTATTTCTGTTGCGCGATATATACGAGATACTTTGTTAGTATAAATAAAAAATAAACTTCCACCGTGACAATGTGAACTTGTGCACATTGCCGTGACCAGGATTCGAACCTGGGTTACTACGGCCACAACGTAGGGTCCTAACCACTAGACGATCACGGCTATTCGAAGAATTGATCACAGACTCGAATTTTACATTGACTAAATATGTTAAGATAAATTTGTGTCTTACCTAAGATAATCACCTAATCTTCTAATCAGGACCGTCTCGTGCAGGTTGTTATCAGCATAAGTGTATCTAATCAAAAGAGCGGCATTCGAATTAGTTGGAGCTTTGAGAGTTACAATTTTAATTTTCATATTCAAAACGATCGAAAGAAATGCAACATGAGGTGATCCTTTACTCTACGAACGTGAATTAAATTAACTTTGTTTTGATAGTACCAATTAATATTTTCATTTAGGCTAAAAAGTGATTCTGCTTTTAAAGAACAAAACATACATTTCCGGCGAAGTGATAATATCCTATCGATATCCTAGGGATAATATTAATATTAATATTAATATTAATATTAATATTAATTATAATATTCCTATCGTTTCCACTCGTGGAATCACCGGGGTACTGGGTCAAACAATTAGGCCATCTTCGCAATTTATCTTCCAGCTCGATAACTATTCTCAACTACAACGAATTATTAACGTACCAAAAATTCACCAATCGGAGAGTGGATTAAAAAAAAAGGGAAAGGTTAAAAAATATTCATTTTATTTGCAGTTCGTCGTCGAAGTAGATCGCTTTAAAAAATATCGGTTATTGTATCTCGCTAAAAATTTTGCAAGGAATATTTTCCTTCTCCACCGTCGCTTTCCTAGCTCATTTGAAGTGAACAGGTACTGTCAATATTAAATCATTCTAACTCCAAGTTCCTTACACATAAATTGCGATTTTAAAATGTACACGTTTGTATAAAGAACCAGATCGAACAAGAATTTGAGAACGTACTGTCACGCTCCGTAAGTTGCCAGTTGTTGATCGATCCACTGTGTATACTGAGCGACGTTTGTATAAACAGCGGGTACATTCGACGTGCCGCAACCGATCCCCCAAGACACGATGCCAGCCTAAAAGAAAAAAACACTTGTCAGTAAAAAGAGAAAAAATTTAATGAATCGATTAATAAATAAATTTCAATTCCTTCGAAACTGTATTTTTCTTCGCTGTATTTAAAACTGTATTTAAAACTGTATTTGAAAACGTTTCACCACGGATACCTTGGATATAAAACATATCAGAGGCACGTGATGTCAAAAGGATCCTCAAAGCGACGCTCTTTTTCGAAAGGACGTTCGCCAAGTATACCTAACACAAAAGCGCAGCGTGCAAATTAGTTTACAATCAGCCGATTTACCTGAAAGAATTGGCCGGTGGCCGTCGGACAGACCAAAGGACCCCCACCGTCCCCTTGACACGTGTCCTTATTTACTTGCCCCCCGGCGCACAAAAACGAGCCATGCAGCTGAAAATATGGGCCCAATTTCGTGGTCCTAAGTCGACTTTGACAATCGGCCCTGCTTACAATGGGAATCTCCACCTTCCTCAGCTCGGTCTGGTACGCACCACCTGCAATATTGTCAACGTGTCGGCCGAGTGCAGGGATTCGAAAATCAAAAAATAAAAGTTTATTATTATATTGTCTTAAATATCCGAGAAAACGTGTTATTTAGCTATAAGGCCACTTCACACCCTAACCATGAGGTAGACATAATAATGAACTTTATACAAATTTCGGCAATCATAATGCTATTAATATGTACCTATAATATTATACTATAGAGTAAGACACATGGGGTTGTCTAGAAAGGGCCAAGGTGGATAAAATTTTAAATAAAACAGGACAAATATAAACACCCTGGACAATTAATTAACAGGTTGATTGTTCATATTCCTATCATACTATAGGGTGTAAATACTATTTAAAATAAGACAGGACAAATATAAACACCCTGGACAATTGATTAATAGGTTGACTGTTCATATTCCAACATTTTGAAAGAACTAATTGCAAAATAGAGACACTCGCGCCATTTGTGAGGAGTCATGAGAGGTTGGATTCAAAATACCACTCCCGCGTCTTCCGTTTTGAATAGTCATAACTAGACTGCGAATCTTTATGTATTAGGTTGTCCCAAAAGTTTTGATCGTAATTAGTCCACCATTCCTACACTTGCTTATCTTTCTTTCTTTATCTTCTCTATGTAATTTTACTATTGGACATTAGTATGTAGGTCAGAACTTTTAGAAAGCTCACCAAAAGAGTTCTTTCCCCAGCCTGTCCCGATACACTGGGTGCCATCAGGAAAAATCAATCCCTGTTGCGGTATGCAAATGGGAACAGCGTTGATGCTTTGATTGATTGGTTTGTCTAAAATGAGCACTGCGATGTCATTGAACAGAGCTGCGCTGTAAAATGAAGGGTGGGTCACAGCAACCCTAACGTTGGCATCTTGATAGGGCGCTGGTTGAGCTTTGGGTCCTTTTTCCAAGTCTAGCTGACCGATGCGCGCCACCAATCTATTGTTGCTCAGGCTGAAAACAGTTGTTTCTTATAAGATGGAAGAAATGTAAGAGATGTAAAGATGGAAGTAACAACGACTTAACGGGTGCAAAGATAAATAAGTAATCGTATTTTAAATACTCTTGTTTCATGAACCGATAGAACAGGTTTGCTAATTGTTTGAACTGTAGTTTCAAAACTAGCAAGCCAGAGTACACTTATATTAAAATTAAAAATCCAGAGTTTCTAAATAGTTTTCCTTTGCACCTGTCAGGTGCTATTGCTTCTGCCTTTTCAGATATTGGAATTCACAGACTTCAAGTATGCCAGGATTGGTCTATGCTTACTTGTTGACGCAATGAGCGGCTGTTAGGACAGCTTTATTGGTGATCAGCGATCCACCGCATTGGAACATGTACTTGCCATCCGACTGCACCGTTAGGAGGGCAACCATCCATGGAAACTCCGCGAAGTAGGTTCTTCCACTGCCCGCAGGGTACGGCTGTGCTGTGAAAACGAAACCATTTGTTTTTCTACTAAACTATTTAGTAATAATTGAGTCGTTCATTGCACAAAACTCCATATAAACAAAAAGTCGAGAAATGCGATGAAATATAACAAGTTACTTCTAGACCAAGTGCGTTGACACTAAAATTTAAGAGTTTTCAAGAAGAGGGGTTGATCGATTTGTGCAGTGCACGGTTTAATTTAAAATCTATTACAAATATAACAAAGAGGAATATTTGTGCCTCTTGAACTTAACGTAAGTAGATATTTCACCGTCTGGTTTATATGTTATTAATTCGCTTATAATCACTCTAGTTCTTATTACTTGTTGAGATTATTGCGATCTATTATTGTACCAAAATCTATTGAGTTTGCGTGTTTCAGCTTGTTCGTCCGCGGGGTGAAAGTAAAACCATACGAGTCGGTTGAACTTAATTTATTCTACACTCTTGAGGAGGTCACAGCGAGTCTCAAGAGTCGCCAACCCTAAAGGCAGAGAACTATAAAAAGAAACGTTAGCAGAAAGATGCATCAGCACTGGTGATCCCAACCCTTGTGTAACAATGATTTTCGATGGGAGCTATAAATTTCCTAATGGGGCACGGCACATTTTTCCAAGGGCACGAGTCAAGGGGGAATATTTTCAAGAATACTTCACAGGATATTTTTACCAAATCCATGAATTCTAAATGACTTTCACCACCTACCTGGGGCATACGTCCTATTCCAGAGGCCGCATCCCACTTGAGAAAACGAAGCCTCTCCGTTCATTATGTTCTCCGCCGTTCCATCTTGTAAATTACGACCACTTTGCACCCCGGTTGTTGCAGCTCGACAGCAAACCTCGTCCGCCGAGGAACACGCGGAAAACCTGGAACAAAAGTTCAAGTCGATCTCGTTAACATAGGAACTGTTCTTTTTATTTGTAAAATAAATCTTGTATATAATATATGAGAAATTTAAGTATTACACCTTAAGTGTATTCTATTTTCAATTATTATGAAGATGCAACTGCAGTACATTAACATCTCCACCATTTTTTTTATTTCTAAGATAAATCTTCGAAAATATTTTATATGTAAGAAATTTAACTAGTACACCTTAAGTGTATTCCATTTTTAATTATTATATAGATGCAACTGTATCCCTTATTAACATCTGTACCCTTGAGATAAATCTTCAAAAATATTTTATACGTGAGAAATGTAACACTAGTACATTTTAAATGTAGTCTATTTTTAATTATTATAGAGATGCAACTGTAGTACTGAAACTGATCAGTATTAAATAGTTCTTATTACACGTTATTTAGTTTTAGTTTTGTCATACTATTGTATCGTTACTATTTATGTAATATGGTTAAATAAACAAAATATTCTCAGGCATACAGTATGTAGAAATTAAATCTAATCCAAGATTAATATATCCTAATATTCCTAATGTAGAAAATTCTTTTCCAAGCTATGAACTGTCTCTAAATAAAAAAGCCAAACAAAGTGTAAATTACTTCTAATATTCCTAATGTAAACAATTCTT